TCCATACAATAGAAGTCAATGGGTATAAACTAACAAGCATTTGGCGCCATCTATGGGTTTTATCCTGTAAATGTAAAATAAAGTAGGTGACTAATTTTTAGGGGAAAATGTAAGAACAAGAGATACCCGGAATTTATACTGTATGTACAGTCATTTAATGAAACTCAAATGTAAATATTCTAATATTTTGAGATACTGGATTTTTGACTTTCATGAGCTGTAAGCTCTAATCATCAAAATTAAAACAAAAAAACTTTTGAACTGTTTTACTTTACACATGTAATGAATCTAGAATATATAAGTTAGAAGTTCTAATTTTTTTGAGATGCACCTGTATATATATGAAATTGAAATCTGAATTGAGCCTAATAAGATCTCAGTGAACAGCAATTATATGTGTTTCAATTCTGATGAAGTAATTTGATTTAAACATGAACACCAATCAGGTTTCAGCACTCACTATCTGTAAGTTAGTAAAGTTTGATACAGCAAACAACAGTCAACCATACGGTAATCATTTTTAATCGTCACTTAAATAGTCAGCAGATTTTTAACTACAAGTCAAGGTAGTTCCAATGAGACAAACTTAACAAAAAAAAAAAAAAAAACTCATTCCAACAAATGAACAAGGGCAGAACAAGCGAAGTGTCCTCAACAGAAGTGTCCTTTTTCTTAGAGCAAATGATGCTCCTGTTTGCAACATGAACACAAAAATAGTTTTAGCACAAAAGGCAAGAACACAATTTCAGCATGAAATAAAGTACAAATAGCCGAGTCTAATACTACAGATTTATGCTTTTCTAACACATCAAAAGCATGAAGACAGAGGAATATACTGCACCCTTTTTAATAAACAGCAGTTTAATGAGCAATAGTGCATCCTGGAATAATAATTATTATAATAAAAAAAAAAAACACACTTTCTGCTATGAAATGATGAAAATGCAGTTGGGCAGAAAGCCTGATGTTAATCAATAGTTTGAGTTTAAATAATTCAAACTGCAATACTATTTACACAGTGGTAATACTGAAAGTACTGACTTATTCAGAACTGAATTATCCCAATCTCTGCTTTTGAGAAACAGATGGACAAATTGGTCAGTTTAAGGAATGTTCTGGGATCAAAATGAGTTAAGCTCTATATGCAGATGCTCTCCAGCATCTGTCACATACTGTTGATTACCACAGACAATGATTTTGACTCGTCCAAAAACATGTTCACAGTAATGCACTTACAATGGGGCAAAGGCATTCCTGACGGATTTAAAAAACAAAAATGTGCACTTTTTGCTTTTACTGAAGTGGAACTCTACTGCAGAAATTCTAAAACTTCCTCAGTAAAACAAAATGTACAGATGACCTAAAAACCTTCATCTATGACAGACCACAAACTACCTCCAATCAATTACCAACAGTTATGAGTAGTGTATTAAAAATAAAAATTATATATATATATATATATATATATACACTGTACATTGAAATATACAAAAGTTTGTGGTCTTTTTTTAAAACAACTTTATACTTTTTATTCAGCAAGTATGTATTATGTATTTATGTCTTCACTAGTAAAAGTGAAGGTAAAGACATTTATAATGTTAAAAAAACAAATTCAAATAAATGCTGTTTTGAACTTTCTATCCAACAAAGAATCTTGAAAAAAGTTTCCACAAAAATATTAAGCAGCACAACAGTTAGTCTAATAGTTGTAAATTGTAGTCTAATAATATTTGATAATAATACTCTTGTCTGTATTTTTCTGTAATAATACTCTTGTCTGTATTTTTGATTAAATAAATGCAGCCTTAGTGAGCTTAAGAGACTTCTTTTGAAAACATAAAAAAAAAAAATTCAAAATCCTACCAACCTCAAACTTTTAAAGTTCTGAATTTAATTTATCCAAATTAATGTGAATTCATGACATTTTATATATTTTTTATTTTATAAATTATAATCATTTTGTTATTTAATTACAATTTTTAAACTTTTTTATTTAATATTTTTATTTATTTTTACGTTTAAATCAGCCAATCAACTTGCGGGCAACTTGGAATCCTTCATTCACCACCAGTCCATTATTGTATTGTAAGTACATTACTGAA